TTGGTTAATGTCACAGAAAAAGTCATATAAACCCCCAGACAAAATCTTTTACCTGAGCCTGTATGCTTACCAATGATAATGCTTTTCAAAGAATGAAACCTAAATTAAAATATGAAAAGAAGAGGTGGGTAGATGGGGGTTCTTGGTAGCTGTTCATCTGCTAAGTGGGACAATTTTTTTTATCTTTATTGAAACTATTAATACATTTTGAAGCAAGTAAAGCTTTTGTGTCTTTTGTCCTTCCTTCTAATTCTGATTTTTTGTCTTTATGTGCACAACTACTTCTCCGCTAACTTGAGAGCTACTCTAGCCTATGCCATTCATCACAAGAACATCTCAGAGGGACTTGGAAATGTTTCAAGTTTTAACAATCAGAGTCTTAACCTGATTTTTTCTCATGTAAGTTACCTGCCTAGGCACACTGGGAAGACAAACACTGAATGACAGAAGTTGAATAATAATAGTAATGAGGAATTTTGCATGAGAAATAAAAACCTGGTAAAATCAGGTCTTTTGTTGTAGATTGCTGAGATATTTTACCAGTGTAAGAAAGAGTGTCGACATTTGTCAGGCTATCCTCCATAAATTAGAATGTACAGGGGAAATACAGCCTTGGCTGCCATAACTATCCCTGCAACATTTGCTATTTGTTATGCTTTTTTTTCTTTTGAAATATGAGGGGCTATTTGGGGGTATAATGGTAGTACTTAAAGTTTTCTTAGTTGATCGTTTTGTTCAATTGTCAGTATAATACTTTTAATCACATTTTCTGGCTTGCTTCTCTGTTTAAAATATAAACTGGGGAGGAGGAGAGGGAGGAAATTGGTTGTGTTGTTTGATGGTTTTGGTGGTTTGACTTTGTTATAATGACTTTGTTGCTTTAGAGTACTGTAGAATACTTTAGAATACTTTTAGATTGGCTATAAGGAAGAAACTCTTTACTGTGAGGGTGGTGAGGCACTGGAATGGGTTGCCCAGGGAAGCTGTGAATGCTCCATCCCTGGCTGTGTTCAAGGCCAGGTTGGACAGAGCCTTGGGTGGCATGGTTTAGTGTGAGATGTCCCTGCCCATGGCAGGGGGGTTGGAACTTGATGATCTTAAGGTCCTTTCCAACCCTGACTATTCTATGATTCTATGATACTTATTTTCTCAGACTGTTTTGGTAGTGTGCTTTATCCCTGACCTGGAAAAGCCACCTCTGCAGGTGAGAAGATAGTTAATTTTCCATAGCTCATTTAGTCCTTGTCCTTTTTGCTAGGACTACCATCAAGACTGCTAATTATAGTAATAGATTTGTGACATGGGTACTTTTCTTCTGAAAACTGATCAAATACATTTGATACAGGCCATAAAGTAGCCATGAGCAGGTAGCAGGTTTCAGTCACCATCAGTTTGACCTAAGCTGTAGCTGAACAGTGCAGTAGTGGTTTTCCTTCACATCTTATTTTTATAGCATTCCTGTTGTAGCCAAGAAAAGCTCCCAGTCTGTTTTATATTTCCAGTGGCTTCAAACCCTTTCCTGCCGAAGCTGGGTTACCTGTTTTCAATTTCAAGAAACAAAACCTGCATGAGTTAAATAAGCCAGCACAAAATAATGCCAAGAGTGGGCTTTACACAGACTTAAATATATTTGGTTTGTGTTTGGTTTTGGTTTGTTTCTTTTTACAAAAAAAAACAATGATGCTGTGGGTTGGACAGAAATGCAGAATAAAACACATCTTTCAAATGTACAAATTTGTTTCAGCTATTAATACTGTAGCATCTTCAAAAGAAAGGTTTTTAAGTATCATGGCTTTAAAACTTAGTTTGCTGGAAGAAAAGTGGCTTTTGAAAACTGATTTAGCATCACTGGAAAGGGAATAAGAGGAAAATATTAGCAAGACTTGCATTTTTTTCATGTTGGCACTCAGCATCATACTTAGCGATCTAAAGACTTTGTGGAATGGTATTTTTACACTTAAGCCTGTGGTTTTTTAAGGAAACTTCATAAAGACTGAGGTTTTCAGACTTCGGTTGCTAACACTTTCCTGGGTTTCCTAGCAGTGCTTTACTTTAAATGGAAATGCAATCAGCCTTTACTTCATGGTGCCCTCGATATTTCTTTCAGGTCTGACCACTAAAGTCCAAGAGTCATGACCTCAATAATCCCTGAAAAAAATACTGTTTCTCACTCCTTTATTACATATAGATACATGCATTTAGGTACACATACAGACATCTTTACCTTTCTCAGAGTTGTTTTGCAATATGAGTGGATTTTTCTGTATTTCACATTCAGCAATTGTGTTTGGATTACAAGAATTTGTATGGGTAGTTGATGGTATTTATATACATACTGACTCTGATTCACTGCTTTCATTAGCACTAGAGTTCAAAATAGCTGATTCTGACATCAGTGTTAATGATGTAATAATGCTGACTCTAAGCAGATCATTTCTGATTCCCTGATATGCAGGGGCATGCCTGCTTTACCCATGCAGGTGCAGATGTTTCATTGCACCTCACGCAAATCTGTGGAAGCATTAAATGGATAATTGTGTAGGTATGGTAGCCCAGAGTGAGCCAGCAAAACAGTTTTGGAGGTTGCAGCCGGTACTGAGTTTCACATACCCTGGATGCACTTCCCTTACTAGTCATGCTTGCACTCGGCTAAAGATAGCATGGATAAATATATACAGCTTGTAGTTGCATCTCTCACCAGTGTGCATACATCCTGAGTGAGATCAGAGTCCCGTTGGTACTTATTTCATAGAAATTATCTTTAGTTTACATGGTTATTTCAACAGAGGGATTAAGATTTTCCTGTACCTTTTGAAAATATATGGCTAAGTTGATTTTGAAGATCTTACGTGTAAATTTATTATTGGCCTTGCATAATTACCATGCCTTCAGGGATGCAACTGTACTGAAGCTAGAGACCAAGAGCAGCCCTGGTGCTAGATCAGGAAAACGGAGGAAGAATGGCTTATTGGGCCCCTTAGCTCACTTCTTCCAACAGCACACATGCCAGTCACGTTGCACCACTGCTCATGCTCCTGGCAACTCGTCAGTTCCATATTTTGCTCAGCTTTATGGTTTCTGAGCTTGTACCTACCCACACAAACTTCTTTGTGCCTGCAGTAGGTGTGCACAGAAAATGCTGGGTTTTGGATGCTTAGCGGGAATCTGACAGTAACATGAGAGAGGTGGGGTTTTTCTCCATGAGGAGGCACCTGTGCTGCCTTCCAAACTGTGTGTGTGAAGTATAGTAAATATATGGCTTAAAAAAATCATCATTCAGATCCCTATGGTGGTACTGATCAGATCTCTGTTTCTGTAGCAATGAGAACCAAAGGTGGCCATTTAAGGCTCACAGTTCATCTACCAATTTCCAGTTCTGCTTCAGGATTCTTAAAGTATTAGAGTGCGTGCTTTAAACCCACAAAACTTACCTTTACCTAATTTTCACCATTCTAACCTAAGTTTCCACGGAAACAGGGTTGAAAAAGCTGCTGGTAGCCAGCAGGCAGTCAGCAGCTGAGAGTGAGAACTCTCCTTTGTCACTTTCCACTACTAGATGCCTGCTGCGTGCCAGTATGCAAAGCTACCTAGGCTTCTAAAATCTGGATTACTTTCAATTTGAGGGGGAAAAATTAAATTAATCTACTCCTTTCTCTCTTTGGATTGTGTCTGTAAATTCCAGGAGGGCAAATGGGCTAATGAGTCCTGATCTGTTCAGTAATACTGAGCCCCACATAATCAAAGCTTTCCCAACTTAACTGGGCCTCTGCTTTCATAATTTCCATGTTTTAAGAGCATTCTCTCTCAAATTTCATGTCTGTGCACATGTAAACACATATTGGGGTACCATAACTATATCTAGCTGCATATTCAAGCCTTTTTTGCACATAGTGTAGTCTCTGTATAAAATTTGTTGTTTTCCTGTATACTTAGGGAACATTTCTGAATGAACACATTATAACTGATCCTCAGTTAAATATTAGGAGTAGGATGTGAATGGAGATGGCTTTTAACCAGAAGTAGATTATAGCTGCAGGAAGACTAAAGGGTCTGTTTGGTCAAGACTCATACAAAACTGAGATAAGCATGCACAACCTGACAAGATCAGATTAGACCCTTCCCCCACAAGTACTTTTCCCATAAATATTTATCTACTTTCTATTATAAATAACCAGGAAATGAAAAATAAGGATAGATTCTTTTTTTTTTTAATATCCTAAAAATAAAAATGCAGCTTTAAATCTTCATATAATAATAATATTTTAATTATGTACAAGTTCAGTACTAGTTACTGAGTTTTAAATGGTAGCAAAGTACTGAAATTCTTCGTGGCAGCTATGTAAATCAGCAGCATTTATAAACAAAGAACTTTGTACATATGTGCATTTTTGCCTACTATTGGGTACCTAAGAATTAAATAACTTACCACCTATGAGAGAATAGGTGTTGACAGAGTCAGCACTGCTGTATTTTTAAGCTTGCTTGAGGCAACATAGCTGGCATTGAAGTTAAGCTTGGCATTTTTCACCCTCTCCCCCCTCCCTCCAGCCCAAGTGAATGCTCACTTCATCAATGAGAAACACAACTGACTTGCCTGCCAGATGCAACAGAGATCCATGAATTCACATCTCCTTTGTAAATTTGTGTTTCATTCAGGTTGTCGAGACTTTGACTTCACTCCCTCGTGCAGTGGTGTTAAGGGGTGAAAATCTGAAGCCATACGTGTGTCACTAATTCAGAACTGTCTGTTGGTGATTCACTCATCAGACACTGTGGATTGCCTTTCTGCTGCAATAAAAAATGGCTCTTTAGCTTTAAAATTTAAAACCTTAAAAATGTACAGAATAATATTTTGCATTCATCTTTGAAAGTAACGAGCAGGTACTTTTTAAAACACTTGTGTCACATAAGAATAATATTAATACTTTAAAAATCTCAAGATGAAAAATGTAAGTCCTTTTTTCTTTCCCTTTTTTTTTTTAATCTTTTTTTTCCTCTAGCATTTTACGATGGGATAATGAGACAGATGTCTCTCAACTGGAAGGACATTTTGACATTGTTATGTGTGCTGACTGGTAAGTACATAAAAATCATAAAACTCATGTTAGAAAAATAGCTTTGCTGGAGTAATTGTACTGTGCTGCTTGCTGATGGCTAAGCAAAGTCAACAAATGAAGCACAAAGCCACCTTAACCTCAACAAATTAATATTCATCTCCATGTGACAGTTATAAGGTAGTCTTCTATCACACAGTAACTTCTACCACATTATTTCCCAAAGATTGATTTTGAGAAGCATTTCCATTTTCTGGAATTGCCTCTGTTTCATGCTTGACGTATCAGTAAATGGACGACTTAGGCAAATTGCAAATAATTATGGCTCAGTGAGGAACAGTCTGGAGAAAAGGGAGTTTATCAACACAAACAGCTCAATTAGCTTACTTCTTAGGAAAGATCTGACTATTGATATAAGGGGATATGGTTTTTGCTCCCTGGAAAATATTTCCAAGGGAAAAAAAGATTTTCATAACCCTTTTTTCCCCTATCGTATTCTAGTTCTTAAATAAATTTGACAGCAATATTTGTAGACATCGACCTTATACTATTTGCACAGGCACATGGTAATTGTAAGAGAATTCTTAATGAAAAAATAAGAGTACAGCACTTAATTTACGAAAAGGTAGATAGATCCATGTTACAACATGCTGTATTGTTTCATGATTTATGCACATGGGCTTGATTATTGACACAGCCCTTTTTTGATACTGGCTTTGCAGAATTGTGCCGTGCTGTATTTGCTGCATGCCAACTTTAAAAAGGGTATATTCTTAATCATTTGTGTTACAGAAATGGAGACAGTGTAAAAAGAGATCTGCAAATTTTATTTAAAAGAGCCGGTATTTTTAAACGAATCTCTCTCTCCTTCACGGACATTTGCTCCTGATCCGTTCAGTGTCCAAACCAGTAAAAGCTGTTTATGTTTTGTTGTGAGAAACCGAACCCTGACAAAAACAGACTTCCTCACACAGCTCAGTTCAGCAGATTTCTGCACCTTGCTAAGAAATAGTTAAAGGAAAAAGGCAAAGGAAATTCGAAGCTGTATATTGTCTTTTTTAAACAATGTGCTTTTTAAGTGGCTTCTGCTAAAATATTCCTCTAAAGCTTTTTTTTTTTCTCCCTTTGATATTTTGCTATTTAAGTGAACAATTCAGATTTCAGGAAAGTTACTGGGTTTGTATAGCACAGGAGAAGGTGTGTTTTAATCATATTTTTTTTTCCTTTTTCTAATACCTGTTTGTTGACAGAATGCAACAGTGCTTCGTTTCTCTTAGCATTTGATTTCAGAAAAGTTCTTTGTTTCCAAAAAGGGCAGAGAAGGGTTTCTAGCTAATCGCTGATAATGTGCCCCAGAGATGCATCATCTGATTAAAATAAGGAGCTAAACAACACCATATGATTTCAGCAAGTAATTTAGTAAATGCCTTCCTCACCAAATATTAGAATGGATACTCCAGGTTTCATTGCACAGATGAAGTTAATGCTGGACAGGATTAGATCAGATTAAGTATGAAAGTCAGATCAGAGTGCTGGCGGACATGAGCAGGAGGGCAGCAGTCTTCTCGGAGGCTTAGACGAGGCTCACATATGGATGTTCTCCAGATTATGTGGGTGAAGCAAGGTCTTGCCAAGAGATTTAGAGTTAAATTTGTTCTTCACACAAATATCAAAACAACCTGGCTGTGCCATCTCTTGTATTCTTGACACTCACACCATGTCATCCTATTTGTGCTGGGAGTACAGCAGAGTGAAGCAAGACTTAAGTTGGGGTTTTTTTCAGTGATATTCCTGCCTAACACTCCTCTCAGTCTGTTTGGAAAAAGTGTAGTTTCCTTGGGAAACAAAGAATCAAACATGACAGGTAAAATACATAATGCATTTTCAATCCCTGTATTTTGTACATTTATTTTGAAGCACTTAAGATGCAGGTAAGTGTATAAATATTTATAGATTTCTAAAAAATAAATAGAAATGTGCAGGTTAGTTTAAAGTGCATCACGAATTGTCCCTATTTTCTTACCGCAAGTGCCCATATATATAGTTTAATAAGCATGAAAATCCCTTCATTGTTTGTTCCTTTTAGAAATCATTCTTTTAATTATGGACACTGGGGTTTCTGGTACATGAAAAGGCTGGGGGGGGGGGGGGGGGGGGGAATGTTCCATGCTTTCTGAAACTTGAATCTTCTTTGCATTTTCATGTATTTCTCGTCTGAGAAACAGAATTGGTTTGAGAACTGTGGCAGGATTTTACTTTCTGAAATTTTGGGGCTGCTATTGAAAAGGGGAAAAAAGAATCTCTTTTCTTATAGCTCCTCAGCTGAAACCTGAAGTACACAGTGATAAAAACAGATAGAATAGATTGCATTCAGTTTAACACCATCATATAGCTCATTGTCAGTCAATAAAATCTGAGATTAGAACAGAGAACTAGAAAGCAAAAAAAAAATCTGAGTTCAAATATTAGGTACATGGATAAATTTTTATTGAAGTATTTCCAGCAAGGGTGATATTGTCTGATTCTCTGAATGGCTAACCAGTGGTACCGCTTGATCCCATTTACATGAAAACAAGCTCTATTCATAAACATATTCCAAATCCACATGGAGGTTCAAGTAAAAATGTACATGATTACAACTAGCAGCGATATGTTTATATTCATATATTTACAGTCAGACTTTCCTAAAGCTTGTGTGCAGGAGTGGAAAATAAGTTATTTCCCAGAACAGACAGTCTATTAGTTAACAGCTAAATTTGGTAGCTCAACTAGATTATAAAATAAATAAGAGGCAAACTGTGAAAGCTGGTCATTATTTAACCATTCAGGATTTTGACAATAAAAATAGTTTCACGGTTCAGCAGTTCCGAAATAACTTGTAAAATGTCAACAATGAGATAAAAATAAGAGAAAAAAAATCATCTTGGTGAGGCTACACCTGGAAGAAGGATACACTGGGAAAAAAAACCCCACTGAAATAATGGAACATTAAAGTATATCCACCAACCTCATGTTTTTGAGGGGCAATTTTAAGTCCAGGTGAGGGCTGCTAGGATTTTAGACTTTCATTTGCCCTACACTTGTGGATATAAAGTCATGCAGGTGCTGGGATTGTAAGAGTGAGTGTGAATAGAGGAGGAGACATAATGTGTGCCTGTCATGGACTGGCTACAAACAAGACTCTTCCAAAGCTGTTGAGATCCTCAGATTTCTGATTATTTAAAAGGAAGCATCTATCCTTTTCTTTATTACAAAACATGTTGCTGAAATTTTTAATCCAGGGAGTGTGAAGGCCAGTAGGACTGAGCCAATAGAAAACCCTTTGTCTTTCACACTCTTGTGGAAAACATTTTCACAAATAAATTTAGTGTAGAGACAGTGTCAGGTCTAGATCCCCATATCATTTTGGAAATGCATAATAGCTCGTTTTACTTAGACTGATTGTATTCCTAAAGTTCGGCACACGCTAAGTATTTGCACAGCAGAGATCAGGGGGGACTATCCCACATTACTTTCCCTACTAAGATTTTTTTGCTAAAGTCATGGGGAATCGTAGACTCACCAGGAATGTAGAACTGAACTGGAAGTATTATCATAGAACCATAGAATAGTTAGGGTTGGAAAGGGCCTTAAGATCATCAAGTTCCAACCTCCCTGCCATGGGCAGGGACACCTCGCTCTAAACCACATCACCCAAGGCCTCGTCCAACCTGGCCTTGAGCACTGCCAGGGATGGAGCATTCACAACCTCCTTGGGCAACCTATTCCAGTGCCTCACCACCCTAACAGGAAATAATTTCCTCCTTATATCCAATCTAAACTTCCCCTGTTTAAGTTTTAACCCATTACCCCTTGTCTTAGCTTAAAACCCATCAATTTCATCTTGGTTAGTGAGTTTCTTTTAATATAAGGAACCTTTTTTGTGCAGGAACACAGTCAGATCTCTGTCCTTCTTCAGTTTAAACGTATTACTGGTGTTAAGCCTGATTTCTTGCACACATTTTCAAGTACATTGGAATATGATGACATGGAAGCAAGGGTTTTTTTCAGTTTATGTCAGCCACACAGTTGAAGGCAAACAAAAAGATAAATGGCTGTATTCAGTAGGCACTATGTATTAATGTAATTATGTCTGAAGTACACTTGTAAACTAAGCTCTTTTACCAGTTGCAAAATATGCAAAAAGAGAAATAAGTTCGCATCGTAGCCTATAAAATATATGTCTCTTACTGCGAGGGACAAGATGAAAGTGTATCAACATGAAGCAAACTGAGAATCGACTTGGTTTGATTTATTTTAATTTGTTTGCTTGTGGCTGACTCTTACTTCTGTACAATTTTGATATAAACTTTCATTTTGGTTTTAATAGTAATCTAAAATTACTGCCTGCCTGTTCATTCATATTTCGCAGGTTAAGAGCACTGCCTAAACAAAGTCTGAATCTTCAACTGTGTTCTTGCCTCTCTACTGCTGTGATCCACATTTCCTTCTGACCCAAGAAAATCTTGCTGTTCCTCTCCTGAGCTACTTCTTTCACAGTGTCCTTACTACATAAACATGAGACATTACCACTAAAGTAATGGCGAGCTAAGCCAAATTAGAACTGAGGTGTGAGAACTGAGTGTAAATGATTTAGAACACTACATTATTTAATTTCACTAAGCTGGTGTGAGCTCTAAAGGTTCTCTTGGGTACATTTTCAGTATGCTCTGGTAGTATTTAGTCATACAAATTCTATCACTAAGAGAAATTGTGTGACTAAATCTCCTTGCATGGTCCAAATCCTGTACTGGTCCTGTCTGTAGCACAGATTATCTGACAACTTCTTAAAGATTTTCCTCATCCAAGGCATCCTTTGACTCAGAGAGAGGATGGAGATATTCCCTGGAGTCACTGCATTGCATTAACATTGCTTCCAGCCTTCTGTGCTCCCTCTGGTCACAGTATGTGGCTCACAGACCAACAGACTGAAAATCACAATATTGGAGACTATTTTAATTGAAGTAGGTCCTGTTTCCAGGTTCAGGCTTTTCGGATGGCAGGGACAATTTGGGAGCAGACCCAGGGCAACTGTCCCAGGTTATCTGGATTTCCTAAGCTGAAAGGGCTAAGAGTTAACCTCCCATACCACCAAGATTTCAATTGGGGTTGGACAGAAAAGGTATTACTGAAGTTGTCTAATGTAGCAGGTCATGTAACCATTTGAACTTCTCAGACACTCAGTTTCTGCTGAACAAAGGCCTGTGGTTCCCTCATTGTAAAGGAACAAGATTGGTGGCAGCAGTTGTGCTCCTATCTCATTGTAAAAGGAGAGAATGGTATGCAGCTCCATTAAAAAGGAATTTAGCTCTGGTAAGCTGCCCCAAAATCATGTTTTCACTACACTGCTTTCAGAATAAAAAATGTCATAGATGCACTTTTCATTTTGAGTGTACTTCTGTCTACACAGGATCTCAGCCACTCCTACATGTGTGCCTGCTTGCAATGTTTTATGTTGAAGAAAATTAATAATTCCTAGTGAATCTTTTGGGAGACGACTCATGCACTGTATTCCACCTCTTCTGCAGGGGGCTAAGCTCATGGTGAAGTGATGTCTTATGCTATCTATCTGAATAGGGATCTACCTGAGGTGAATGTCATTAAAACTCCCAGGAGGTATTAGACCTATCACTTGCTGTTTCAATAAATGAAATTCAAACAAGCATTTTTTCAGTAAGGCTCTTCCAGTAAAATTAATCAAGGCTGAGGGGCAGCCTTCATACCAATTGCTAAAGTTTACATTTTCCTATGGGCAGGCTATCAGAGAAATTGTTAGCTGGTACTTCAGTGTGTTGAGAAGAAATTCAAAAGGTATTACTTTTACATGAAATGTTCTTTAAGAAAAGTATAGATACCCAGTCCAACTGCATCTTCTCAGCAATATGAGGTTCTGCTAGATTTTACTGATGAAATTTGGTCACTGCCAAGTTTCCTGATAGGCTCTTACATAGCTGCTTGACGCTATTGTATGTAATATTGTAGTAATGTACTCCTTGGTAGCTCTGGCATGTCTGTACCTAAATATCCCCACATTCTGTTCTCAGTGACTGGCATGTGATTGCAGACCACTTTTTTCTCTTAGCTGTTTACATATATTCTTTATATTCTTTAAGAAATTTCAAACCTGGGAAAAAAATTAGCCACATCTCTTCAAAAAGGGATGTTTAAGAATAAAGGAAAGGGAAGTATCATGAAGAATGGACAAAATGCCATGTACTGTGGATCTTAAGCTTGGCACAGGCTGGGAAGCAGTTTTATTGCAGAGAAGGCATGAAAAATAATGACGAAAAAAATCACATCATTTGTGGCCTGCTTGACAGAGTTTCTCACCTGAATTGCCAATATAAATGCAGCTCATGGTAGTAAGGACTGAAAGACATCAGTTGCTATCCGATGGTTGTTCACTAACCATTGTAAATGCACTCTCATCCACAGTAACTACATGTCCACAAACATCTAGTCTAGAGTGATTGGCACCCTGGTTGCCACTATTAGTATATACATTAAGGTACTGAGGAGCATGAAGAATGAATTATCCCCTCAAATCATGAGGTAATCACACCAAAATAGGGCTGAGCATGTTGGCAACATCACATGGGAAAATTGACTCTGCTGCTATCCTTGTGAGACCCATGCTGGAGATGAAGGATTTCACTTTTGGGAGGACAACAGTGTTTGAGGGAGAGAGGAGGTAGGGCCTTGTAAATCTTTACAGTGATAGAGAGATAGGCTTACAAAAGGAACAAATATGCATAATAGTTAACAATGCCACAACTGTGAAGTTAAAAGGAAAAAATACTCTTAATGGTAACACCTGAAATGCAACAGAAAACACTTAAAGAACCTCCACACTCCCACCTTGTATTAAGAAAAAAACCATGTAAAATGTTAACTTTGTCTGTTGATCCTGATTTCTGCTATGGTAGTATTTTTCATAGCTAGCATATGTGATCTGGGATTTTCAGCTATAAATATCTGTTCATGATGGTGTTTTAGCTTTGGTTTAGATTATATTTGGTTTCATGTATTTCATAATATTTAGAAGTACCTGAACGGGGCAGAAATGTAGATCACAGTTTCTCTTTTACAGCATTGTGTAAACATATGTAATTAGCCTTGTACTTATCTGCATTAGTATCATTAGTATTGAAAACCCATTTTAATCTGGATTCTCTTCTCTTCTCAATGTCAGTCTCTTTCTGGACCAGTACAGAGCTAGCCTTGTTGATGCAATAAAGAGATTACTCCAGCCCAGTGTAAGTATGTTTCTATTTTCTCCTGAACACTGGCTTCAGAATAATTAGTCTGTGCACAATGATTGAGAGAGTAATGGAATGGCAGGATTAATGTCATGTAATACTTTAATACTTATTATGTCCAACTTCAATTGAGTCTTCTAATCTATCAGATTCTTTCCTAATCATAAACTAGGAAACTTCTTATACTTGGCCTTCTGATAAGGAACACAGTGGGTAGTAAAATAAATGAAACCGCTTCAAAGATAGCGTCAGATTATTTTTATCAAAGCGTTTCTCAAGTAGTTTCCTTTGATAATAATGTCTTCGTATTAAAGTAAAAGTACGATATTGAAAGTTTTTATGTTGGCTTCTGTCATTTGTAATCCCTTCAATTGTAACCTTTGTCATTGTGTATTTATTTATTATGAAAGACTATTTTTTCTTTTCATTTCTGTTTATAAGCAAAACCCTTATGCACAGATTGTAGACTAAAACTTTTTTCCATTAAGCCCTGTGTTTACATTTTTTTATGCCTTGGGATATAATAAAATTAAGCTTTTCATAAAATGCTTACATGTTCTACAAGAATGTCATTAAAGAAATAGTTTACTGATTTCAATCTATTAAGCTGTTAAATTGAGACCTACAGGGAAAAAAATGCTGTCATATGCATATGCTTATACCCAACAAATAACGCTGAATCTGAAAAAACTAAAAAAGAAGATATCAAAATGAAAATAGGAGAAAACGTGTGAAGTAATTGCTATAGGTAGGAATTTGAAACAGGAATTTTACCTTTAATGCTTAACATAGAAATCTTCCATTAAGGTAAACTTTCCATTTCAGAACAAAAGTATTTCATGGTAGCAATGCATTATCCAAACTTCGTTTTAAAATTGTATTGCAATTTTGTACAAGAGATTTTCTCTGTAAAAGGAACAGAAGACCCAAACGTGCAAAGGCTTAAGAAACTGAGTCGTTTTAGCCATGTAAGTAATCCCATTCTTTGCTAAGAGTGATCAGGTTTCTATTCTTGGTTCTATCACAGACTTTCCTGAGTGACCTAAGGCAAGTTACTTAAGACTGAATTATTTTAATGAGCTCTGGGGCATGGCTGCCAGGAAGACAGGAAAAATGTAGCCACTAAGGAGAAGGTTACCCACGTATTGCTTTTATTGGCAGCAAGGGGAGGTTAAGCAGCTCCTGCCCAGGGTGATGCATTCTGACTTCCATAATATGTCATCAGTTGTCAGGGTGCAGTAATTTTGGGGATGAAAGATAATCAAAGCTGATTCCAGTTTAAAAAAAATGTAAAAAGTACTTTTTTTTTCAGCCCAGATCAATATCCAGACCTGGTTCTTCAGGTAGCCCCACACGCCACTGTACTGGTGCCACTTGCCAGTCCTGGGGTGACTGTTGGACTTGATGATCTTAAAGGTCTTTTCCAACCTAGGTGGTGCTAAGATTCTATGAAAGGATACTGGGGGAGTAGGAGTAGCAGTAGGAGTGTCAGAAGGAAAAGTGTACAAGAGATGCTCTGGTAACTGACCTGCCTTAGACCCTCTAGAGGGAAAAAATAGCTCTTGGCTGCTTTCTCTCCTGCTTGTACCTAATCATGGTCTGGTGGTCTGTATTGACAAAACCATGAGTACACACATGCATTTGTACATGCACACACACGTGCATTCTTTACCTGGGCTGATTAGCCCAACCAGAGAATTTGATTTAAAAAACAATGACAGTAAGGCAGCTTGAATCTTAAGTAGTGTTCGTAGCTCAAGTTCCCATCTATAGACACTTTAGGAATTGATAACCCGATTTTAAATGAAAACTGACCTGACTTTGTTGCTTTTTAACTCCAATCAGCTAATTCAGATTCAGAATAAGCTTTTGTTTTTCAGAGCAGATGAACTACAGTCTTTCTGAATGTAGATGGAATAGAGGAAGATGGCTTTTTGTCACCTGCCCTCCTAGTGTGGGTTGCTTCTGATTATTGTGATTAATAGCATAGCCTGTACTCTACTTGCTATGCATTTTAGGCTATGATTCCTATTTCTTATCAGCAGCGCTAGCTTGGGAAATTGTTGCTCCTTTCTAGTTGCGAAGTCTTGGACCACTGTCCAAACTGTATTTTTTAACTAAAGTAATTTGCCTAATCCTCTTTATGGATGGTGATATGGATGGATATCTGGTCTTGGCGTGGGCTTTCAAATTACTGTAATTCATAACTTAGAGGACAGCAAACTGTTACTTGAAGTATAAGCATAACTGAAATTCCAAGAGAAGATGCAACCACAACCACAAGATAGTTATTTTTATTGTTCTAGTTAACCTGTATAAATCTCAGGTTGACATCAGAGGAAACTTTACTTATGGCCCTATACTTTGGTCTTTAAGGGAAAAATAAATTAATAGTGATCTCATTTGCCAGTTGCAATAATTCAGAATAGTTTAGGAGCATTACTTTATGTCTAAGTCATAAACTACTTTGATGATGTTCACTTTTCTACAGGACTTATTTTGTCTCCAATTTAGAAGTTACATTTCTTTACTGGAAATATTTTGCCCAGTTGATAGAGGAACAATCTGAAATTGAAGACACATCTAGATTAAGACATCTTTCAAGTGAACCTAGGATAGAACTGTTCAGGGAAAGTAATAACCAGCAAAATTGAAAGGAAAAGTACAGTAAACAGAAAATTATCGGTATCTTTACAAAACTGTCTTGAAGGGCAAATCCAGAACGGGATATTTATTCTTACTGTTAATTTAAAAAGAGATCAATTTATCTGCAGTATTTCCTTTTTCATTAAGGGTATTACATGTTCCTATTAGAATCATTATGGCACAGAGTGATGTGTTTCAGGTAACTTTTTGTTTTCCTGGAGACAGACTCTGGTCATTTCAGTCATCTGATTCACAGTATGGCCATGTGAACAGTTGTATTGGCACAAGAAGAGGGACCAGAAATTCCCACAAGCAGAAATAAGCAGCTCACAGAGTTATTGGGGTCTGCAATTTCTGTCTGAATTTGTTGTGAATGCAAATGCCACCTGTAAACCGATTCCAAGAAATAGGCACTGAAATCATACACCAAAAAAACTTATCTTCAATGTATGTATTTTATTCCTTTTATAAGTATGCTACTTGACTTGCCAACATTTAGGGTTGGTTTTTTTTTCTATAGTTAAAATGTACTTGCTATTTCAATCTCAGAATAAGCAGTTGCTTGTGTATTTTCCTATTTAGAAACATTTTTAATGAAGGCTTTGATTCTTCTGTGGCTTATCCCAGTGAACTCAATGCGATGCTATTGAGCCATAATTAGTACCAGCAAATAAGACTGCATTTAATAATGATTCATGAGTAAAGTTAGTCATAGTCGTGTCCAACATGTCACATTATTTTGCTGAAGCATTTTAGTGACACTTCAAGCTATTGCAGCTGACATTTTCTTGTGTGTTTTGTTCACAAGTATTTTCCTGGCTGAGAAAAGGCCAGGAAACTTTAAACATCATCCTAATCTGGGAGGCACTTTTGCATTCAAATCAAATGAACCTAGGACAGACCATCAAGTGTAGCTCCAGGCCACTGGTCTAGTTGTTTTTATTGTATAGCAACCAAGAAATGAAACACAGTTTAAAACCAGAAATGTGAATGGAGCCCCAGAACAAGTAACAGAATTACAGTGATCAGGCAGTTGACAAGAAAGTGCTTTAAACCCAGAATATGATTGACCAGAACTGACAACAGTACCTCCATGGTGCCTGCCAGTTTTGATGAGATTATTGTATTGTATGAGATTATTAAATCAAGATTTTGGGGGTTTTATGAGCAAAGGCAAGATGCTCAGGTGTTCTAGATGCACAGTAAATTCAGTAGGTGAGTGGGTTTTTTGCACAAACTATGGAGCTGGCCAAAAGTAATTGTGTGATGTTTTCCATAAAAGTCCATTCCCCTTTTTTGAAGCTATTTCAAGATTTTCAGCCTGGTTTAGAGAGATATTTCATATGATGTTTATTTCTATTTTACTGTATTTCTCTGTCAAATTAAATCTGAAGTCATCTACGGAGTTTATGAGAAGGAATGGCCACGTGCTCTGCTGACTCCAAATGGAAATCTGTAAGGGGATACTGTTGTATGAGCATTGCTTCCTCATTGAAGCTGTTGGATCAGTGACCAGTGTAGGATGTGCAGCCTCCAGCAGTCTCTGTCCACAAGGTTTAGCCATTCCCGAAGTCCCCTTGTGAATCGTGTGGTCAGTAAGGCCTGGATAGGGAACACATTTCCCATTACAGTGATCTCTCTGTGAAGCTGCCCATGTAGATTAGGGACTCCAGAGGGGAGTCTCATCCTTCTCATACCAGGAAAGGTCTCTGCAGAACAACATTCTGGGAAGTGCGGGGTGGCAGCCAGAGGAGGATCCTCAGCTGAAGGCTTCCTTTGCTGCCCACTACTTTCTGATGACATTAAAGCGTGCCAAGGATGTGAGGGAACTGATTGTGAATTTCCTGTGTTTAATGTTTTTCATCCTGATCTGGGCCTATATTCAGACCTAACATTTACATAAGCAATTCCAGTGCCTTGGGTGGGAGTTTACACCCCTTTGCACCTCATGTTTAGCCACAGAATTAAAGTTACAGCTACACAAATCAACAGAAGTGAGTTGCTTTGGATATTGCCCTTTGTCTCCTTTGTGCTTAAATTTCCCATGAGAAAAATGAGGATAACAGTCTTTTCCTTTCTCACAGAGGCATTGGGAGAATAAATACAGTGCTGTGATATTAATGATTGGGGTCTTTTAAGTGCACATTAGTACCATAGACACCAGTGTAGAGTTTTTATTGCTGCCTCACTACATGTTGTCTCAGCATACGTGTACATGAGCTGTAACACAGATTTGTTCCCTCTCCTCCTAAGTATCTGTGTCAGCAGTCTAACTTTCCAGAGTTGCTGTTGAAATTATCTCTTCTGGTCAGTTTTTCCTGTGGTATACAAGATTGCATTTTCTCAAGCCAAATATTCTTCTACAGCATCTAATCATTGTACAACTCCTTCAGGTCCCTGAAAATACCTTTTTTGTCTCTTCAGTTGATTACAGCACCTCACAAATTAGTCTTTGCTCTCATTAATATAGAAGTTAAATACAAAAACTCACAGTAAACTTTGTGGCTCCCCTTGGTGTGATGTGCTGTTTGTTGATATTAACCTTTGTTTACAGCTCTTCAACCAATTTCCATTCCATGTGACAGAACACAGCATTCATCCAGTTAGAATTAATTTTGCAAGTAAGATTTCAAGAGATGTTATATCAAGTAGGTTAGGTTTGGGGCTAGTACTTTGCACGGAATGACTAAAATCTGTCATTTCAAGGTACAGTCATTTCTGTTTTCTTAAATACAGAAGGATGAACAAAAAATTAGCAAATGGACCATAATGTATTGCCTGGGCATCATAAATGGCCTGATTGTCTTGAAAGATCCAGAATTGCTATGCAAGAGCATTAAGTCCTGCTTTAAATGCAATTTACCAATTTCAGGTCAAATTTTGCTGGCTGCTCAGGTAGTTTAAAATACCTTCAAAAAAATCAATTATTAGGTCTGAATTGCTTCCCATTTTGCCTTGTTTTACACTGCTGTAATTCCACTGATAGCAAATGGGGGGTACTCTTCTATGTGGGAGAGTGAAAAAAAGAAATCAGTATTTACAGTCTTTGCATGGTCATGAGCTAACAAATAGATTTTGCATTGAGTGTATGTTTTGTATGCTTTTTCTGTGTTTTATTTTGGTAATTCATAGCCATCATTATTATATGAAAAGGAGCAGATGTCTGGCAGTTGGCAGTTTTCTGAAGAAAATATTTATTTATTACTGTCTATTTTGCATTTGTTTAATCACAGAGACCTTGCATATTTGAACAATTATTCATATTACCCCATTTTAGTGTTTAACCAAGAGAACAATTTACTTTTCTAGCATGAGTGTATTAAAAGCTTAGTCAGGTGTATGTTATATCTGGTTCCCTTCCAGTTTTAAATATGTATAAATTCTCTTTTTAATGTTCCAGGGAAAAGCAATGGTATTTGCTCCACTCCGAGGGAATACTTTAAACCAGTTTTGCAATCTAGCTGAAAAAGCTGGTTTCTCTATCCAAAGACATGAAAATTATGATGAACACATTTCGAACTTCCACTCCAAGGTTAGTTTTCTGCTTGTGTTAGATAACACTTTAATCCGCATTGCATTTTGAAGAGATCATGGTCCTTTTGGCAGGTAACCTAAATGTTTGATTAAAGTACTCCTTAGGTGTGCTGTTTCTGAACAGCTATTTTTGTATCTGATTATTTTGTGTGGTAGAACCATCCTTTATCTCTGCACGCCTAGAAGAGGTTTGCAGGAGCATCTCCTGTTTACCCTTTTCATTCATGGAAATCTAATTTATGAGAGCCTTTTCTTGTTTTTGTTGGCTGCGTATAAATATATGTCACACTAGCATTTTTAATAAAAAGCTTGCAACTTTTAAGTAGGTTAAATACTGAAATGGAGTGAAATAAATAGGAGGTGAATGTCTAATTGTATCATATCGTACCTCAAATCCTTATCTCTGGTTGCTTTATGGCCGGGTCAGTTGGCAGCTTCAAGCTGCTAAATCTCATACAGAATTTCACAGTTGTGGGGTTATATGTCAGATCGAGGCGCTACAAGATTTAGGTCAAAAGCACTTATCTGAGCATGATTTCTAAGCTTGCTTACATAAAGCTACTGTTATCAGTCTCCTTTTTTATTATTTATAAGTATAGAGTAATACAGGACATGACGAGGAAGGCGCTTCACGGAAAAGTTTTTAGGAATTTCTTATTTTTCTGTGTAGAAGTGCTTATCAAAATCATATTTATTACTTGCAATTCTGAGATCTCTATTTCCTCTATTTCATACCATAACGAAATCCACTGTTGTAGGTCCATATGACCTTAGATACAACCTCTTGCAATTTTCTAAGAATTGCTCTTGGAAAATACAGACATGTTCAGAACTGAAGTGAAATGCATTTTTTTTTTTTTCTATTTATCACCACCATGGGATAGAAATCAGATTATGCTAAAAAAAAACCAGGCATGGGATGTTGTAAGGAACACATTTATATTTTATTGTGTAATTTTATATTCAATAAAGACTCCCATTAGAGCTATCTAGACATGTGTACATAAAATCACTTAATTTCATTGGTGAGGTGGGTCTGAATCTGGTCACACTAAAACCAAATAAATTTCAGTCATTGTTCATCTACCACCTTGACTTTGAATCATATAAAATGACATTATTGTGAGGCCCAGTGTGATGGGTTTTTTATTTGCCACCACCTGAAAAAGGGCATGATTTTGATTATGTTGTTTCATGGTAGTAGTTCTCTTTCATTATCCACTGCATCCAAATCAGCTCTGCAGCAGGGAAATGCAGGAGTAATAGGTGTTATCGTGATCCAAGAGATGGGTCTAAAATGATAGAGTAGTTTATTTTGCGTAGAAAGCAAATCTGTTCTATCTTCCTCTGGTTATGTGTCCAATGCAGTCCTTATAATGGTGACTATAGCCAAAACGTATGTGAAGCAGTGTTAAATTAGCTACCTCTGGAAATGCCAATCATTTTACTGCAATATTTTTAAGCCCAA